AAAAAAAGGGCGAATCAGCTTATTTAAGGTTGCAAAGCTACATCGTTTGAAATGGATTTGGGATTTGTTACGTATTCTATAGTTTGGTTTGTAACGGTTAGTTTTGTTTTTACGAGTCGATCACAGATTGATATCAGTTACAGAACCATTGAAAACCAGCCACAGGGAGTACTGCCAGACAGCTGCTATTTCATCCTAGTTTGGGAATCATCGGCACTACGCAGCCATCACAGAAGGTTCGAACCCAGGACCTTTCGGTTACTAGCCAAGCTGGCTCGTATACCATTCAACCAGCCACTGGGACGCGCCCAATTCAATGGCCGCCAGCCCATGAATTCTAACTTCTACCAATTCGTGATTTAGCGCGACCCCAACCATTGTCGTAGGTGGGACATCCATCCTCACACGTGACAGACATCTGGATGGAAATCACTGGTCACGACGTCTCCCTAGAACTGACTCCAGGAAACTCCATCCTGTAACTTGTAAAAACAAAACTAACCCTTACAAACCAAACTAGAGAATATTAATCTGATGCTCTCTAGTGACTTGCTACAGGATGGAGTTTCCTGGAAGGAGTTCTAGTGAAAACTCGTGACTACTGAGGTCCATCCAGGTGTCTGTCACGTATGAGGATGAATGTCATTTACGACAGTGGTTGGGGTCGCGCTAAATCACGAATTGGTAAAAGTTAGAATTCATGGGCTGGCGGCCATTGAATTAGGCGCCTCCCAGTGGCTGGCTGAATGGGATACGAGCCAGCTTGGCTAGTAACCGAAAGGTCCTGGGTTCGAACCTTCTGTGATGGCTGAGTAGTGCCGATGATTCCCAAACTAGGATGAAATAGCAGCTGTCTGGCAGTACTCCCTGTGGCTGGTTTTCAGTGGTTCTCTAACTTGTTACGCATCCTAAGCCATCGGCTTCCTCTTCAAGTAACGTTTAGGTGATATAGGGATTAGACTAGAAGAGTGCTGGGGTTGACCAATCCGTAACCGGTCATCAATCCATCAAGTCTTTGACTGTTGGTTTGAGTCAACCACTTAGGGAGGTGTGAATTGCCTGGTTGGAGGAGGGTACATTTGTACAACAGTTCGGTTTAATTAGTCTTATCAATAATATCTAATATTTTAACGTTATGGTATACACAATATAGGCAGATATATATAGAACGTATTTTAGGGTATATCATCACAGTGAAGGCATGCACACACACACACGTGATGTATTGATTACATGTTCACGTGTTGTTTATCATCATATTAATGTGAGTGCACGCCTAACCACATACATGTACACACGTGATTGTTTTTTTTTAATGTCAGCCTAATATACTACTTGTGGGAATATCTTAACGCATTAAATCATTTCATTTAACTTTACCCCTGTTTACTAAGCTAGTGGTTGGTTGATCGATTGATTGATTGATTGGCTGTTGAATCAAATGTACAACTTCCCCAAAGAGAAAAGCCTGTCTCACCATCATCATCATCATCATGTGTTTCAAAACTTCGCTGAAAATACAAATCAAAGGATTAGGATATTAGAAATGCAACAGCAGGAAGATAAACGTGTGTATAAAAACGGATGGATGGATGGATGGATGGTCAGTGAAATGATGTATACGTGGGGGGGGGTGGATGGTGTCGTTGAGAAGCGCTTTAGAGCAGCAGCTGTGTCACTCAACACACTCTCCAAACCACATTCATTCATCATTTAATTGGTGGATGGTGACTAGCAGTGGAATCCAGGATGCTCATTTCGACCTATCTGGGACTCCTCGTCTGAACATATCTGCATTTCTCAGTGAGTGATGATTTTTCCACCGAAGCTTGAAGTGGTCTACTGGATAACACTTTGGCGTTTGAAACTATGGGCACTGGGTTCGAGCCTCGTGGTGTGGGAACATCATCACTCACTGGGAAATGCAGGTACATCCAGTGGCTGACGAGTCCCAAATAGGACACGTGAAATGCGCTTTATCCTGGATTCCACTGCTAGTCACCATCCACAAATTAAAATCTAGAGTATATCTTCAGGATTAACTTCAATGTGACTAATTGACTGGCTGAGGTCAGAAAACTTTGTGTGCTTATGGGGAAGGGTAGTGTGTGTGTGTGTGTGTGTGTGTGTGTGTGGAAGGGGTTATTATTTCCCGCTTGGCGAAAACATGGAAGTGGGTTTCTACTTCTTGAGTTACCTGAAAAAGCAGATGAAGAATTCGTGTTACGTTGTGGTGAGAGCTGTCTGCTAGCCAAAATTGATAGACATCAATGATTAGGTCATATATCGTGGTCATGCGAAAATAACAAGAACAAAGACTTTGCGTGGGCGGATACGATTCGCAGATATATGGTGTGTACTTTAAATAAACGGCCACAAAGAGATAACAGATTAGTCTTCAGTGAGAGAACAACCGATCAGAAGACGCTGTTTCTTTGCTAGCAATGATGTTAATAATAATGTACAAAAAAATAAAAAATATCTCTTGGTTTTCTCAAAAAAAGATCTGTTGCCTGGCCCTTTTCTTTTATAGTTACAAAGTGACTATATATAGAGCCCTATTTCAAGTACGTTCCGAATTAGTGTTCATATTTAAGACCCTATACCCGGGTATGAATCATCACTGCAAGGTTAGCCGGGATATAAACATTTTTTTAACTCCCCTTCTACAGACTGTGGATAGACAGCGTATAACTAGCTGGCATACTGGTCATCTGAAGGAAACACTTTACAGTTGTTACATTCCTATTCGCTAGCAGTACGGCTTCTCCCACAGCCCCTGCCCTCTAACTGCTATCCAAATCTCCCTTCTGGAATGGTAGGAACATTAGTTTCAGTTAGTATACCTCGTTGAATCATTGTGATATATGCAAACCCGATCACTACATCAGGGTAAAAGCTATAGGCCGGGACTAGTATTGTAAACTGAGTTGTTGTTTTTTTTTTAAATTCTTCATAAGTGAATCAACTATCTCTCTTGATGGTGTTTGTAGCCTTGACTGTGATCGAATGATTATCTCCAGGAGTTAATATTGATCGTTCCTCTGACCCGAATATTTAAGCATTTTGATCGCATTTTGACTTACTCTGTATTATATTGATTGATAACTGTTACCCATATCATCAACATGTTTCAGTACACCAAGCTTCCAAGAATTGTTTAACATTCCTTGTGTTTCCTTTGGTTCAGTTTTGTGTTGAGTTGTTCACGTTCATTGATACGGAAAAACGTGTATGTGTATGTCTGTTTCTGTGTGTGTGTGTGTGTTTCATGTCTTTCATCTTCTAGACTGTGTTTATGTGTATACGAAGATGAAATGGATGATAAACTTTGACATCAATCTACACATTCAGAAAATCAATGAGTCCCGGACAGCTATCTCCTCCTAGTGTTTGCGACTCTTCAATGATACTCACCTATGACCACCCAGGATCTTTAGGTTACTCGGTGAGATTTCCAACCCTATGGTGAAGGCTAGGGTGGCATACATCAACTTGAACCACCTCTGGCGCCGTCGCGACCTTAGCCTGGCTGTCGAAGGTCGGGTATACAATTCTTCGGTGCGGGCTGTTTTGCTCTACGCCTGTGAAACCTGGCCTATCCGAGTAGGCTGACGATGTGCAGCAACTCTGCGTGTTCGATCATCACTGTCTCCGTAGGATTGCTTGCGTTCGATGGCATCATCGCGTGAGTAATTCTGAAGTTCGGTGGCGTATGTGTTTGAATGTCGTCGTCATCTGGAAACACCGGCTCTGGTGGCTTGGACATGCGCTGCGAATGTCATCCCAGAAGCTTTCGTACAGGTCTCTGTTCGCTAGCCAGCCCTTGGACGGGATGGAAAAGGCGGAGGGGTGTTCAGTCCACGACGTGGCGTCGTGGGATGAAGGATGTTTGTGCTAGATTAGCATCGGTTGGTGCGTCACGACTCCTTGGTTGGGGTCCGCGATATAGCTCGAATCGATGGCTCGAAATGTTATCGGATATGGCCAGGAATCGTAATTAATGGCGATCGTGTTGCAATTTCCTTCTTTGTTCCCTTCCCGATGATAGTTGACGAATACTATTTGAACTTGTTAAGCATGACTGTTTTCCTTCCAGATGAAGTTCTTTGTCCGATCTCTACTTATATTTCTTTTTTACTTTTGATCTATGTTGTTTTATTATTATTGTGTGGTGCATCTTTCTTGGTGCCATATTGTACCAAGTTTTTTTTCTGCGTTTAAATAATAGGTGAGCTGGTCGACCATCCAGCCACTGGGAAGGAATGCAATAGCCATGCCATGAAGTCTAACCTCTGCCAATTCGGGATATATATTGCTTGGTTGACCCCACTGCACTGGTCACTACTTCACACACACACACACACACACACACACACTAGAATTTCAGTCAACTTTATCTTGTAGCCAGTCTAGAAGTGAGCAACAGATTAAATTTCAAGTGTTAGTTTGCGCGGAAATTCGATCGGTTTCAAGTTTCATCACGATATGACTTCACTACCCGTAGGGAGTATGTACTAGACAGCTGTTTCGTCTAAGATTGACATCTTGTTTTTCTCCTAGACTCGGAGAAACTTTTTTCTTTATCAAAATTATTCTTGTATTCCCTTTCCGTTTCGAGTAGAACATAGGGCTTCAAGTTAGAGCTTTGAAGTTGTGATAGCGATGGCTTTATTTTTACGCGGTTGGGTTGCTGCAAACCTCATGCCCAAAAACTACACCCTTTACCACCGGCCTTACTGGCTTGGTATGGGTTAGGGATCGAACCCCGGACCACGTGGGTTTGGTAGTTGGCCAGCGGTTTTTTACCGCTGACTCACAAGACGTTATCAAAAATAAATTCTGTTTTTATATGTTACAATTTCGTTGCAGGGCTACACAAACTGTGATAATAAGCTTTCCTTCAGGGTCAGTCCTGCGGCTTGTTCACTTGGGCCAACATTCTTTACCACTTACCCTTTAATTTCAACATTTTTTGTTTTACTTTTCTCTATTTACAGAAATCAAGGCTAAGAAAACGGCTAATAAGTCGAAAATTCCTTCTTCAAGTTTCTTACAAATTATGCATGATGAAGAGGGTTTACTTCGATCGGTTGAAGATTTCCGTACGGTGGGTGTAGCTGTTATTTTTTAAATTTTATTACGAAGGTATAGTATTTGGAAGTATTACTATTATTATTATTATTATTACGCTATTAGTTTGGTCCTTTAGGTATCGAGTGTGTAACACAGGGTACTCCGACAGTACATTCTGTTCTCTGAGATCTTTTTTTGTTTACTTACTTCATGATTGCACATCAGCTTTATTTCATCCTTTGTCACTGTCTGACACACGCCCAACTCTTTGTTTCCTATTCGGGTCGCACTCTGGGGAGCTCGCCTTGAAGTGTGTAAAGTCTCTTCAATGTATGAGGTAATAAATAGGCTTTCGATGGGTTCCCTGCACACTGCTGCACTATTATTATATTACTATTATTTCCCATATTCCTAGAGGAACATAGGGCTTCAGCCGCGCGTCCCCATTGCATTCCCTTCTCTGCCAACGTTTTCACCTGGCTCCAGGTCTGCCCACATGCTTTCATCTCCTCTTCACATGACCTCCTCCAAGTCACCCTTGCACTGACGACCGACTCGCCGCTTCCCTTTCGGGTTCCACTCGAGCACTGGGTTGTCTAGTGATGGCACTTGATGGTTTGTTTTCTCAAAGTTATGGCCAATCCACCTAACTTCATTTCTTCCTGCTTATTTGTTGCACAATCGGTTCCTGCTGTGTTGGTTCGCTCATTGCTAGAGATCCCTGTTGCTGATCTTATCTGGCTGGCCATCTGATCTTGAGTAGTATTGAGCGAAAGCAGCTGTTGATGAAGGTCTGTAGTTTGTTTGAGGTGCTCTTTATGACGCGCTGGCTAAGTCTATGATCCGTATAGTAAGTGGCACTGACTTCACATTGGAGTTGAAAATCCGGATCTTATTTTTCATTCTGAGTTGTGCTATTGACCTCCACACAGACTTGAGAGAAATGGGAGTTTGTCTTGCTTCATCGATTCTGGCTTTGATGTCCTCGTCAGTTCCGTCTGCCTGTAGTTGAAACGATGATTCCCAGGCAGGTAGGTAGGTAGAGGAGGTTGTTTCTTACAGGTTCCTCCCATTTATGCTGGCTGATTGTTGTCTGTTGTTGTTGCTGTGGCTGTTGGCGTTGGCCAGGAATCTTCATCACCACCTCTGTTTTCTCTATGTTCACCTGAAGTTTTATCTTCTGTGGATGCTTCTTCTATCGCCAACTTGTTGCTTTTCACTTGCATATATTTCGGTCTGTGAGAAGTCAAATATATATATCATCGGCGAAGTCCGGATCCTCTAAATTTTTTGTGTGAGTCCATTTTATGCCTGTTTTCTCATTTCCCGCTGTCTATCACATTATCCAGTCTACTGCAATCAGGAAAATAATTGGAGATAATAGGCATCCAGTTTGTCTCACTTCCGTCTTTACTTCGAAGGATTTCGTAAGTTTCTGGTTGTGGATTACTTGGCATGCAGCATTGTCGTACAACTGTTGGATGAGATGTATAATTGTCGGCGGCAACCCTTAGTAGCGAATTAGTTGCCAAATGACCTCTCGATCGACGCTGAGCTAACGAAGGCCTTTTCAAAGTCGTTGAAGTTGAGATAGAAGGGTGACTGCCATTCCAAGCTCATTCATAAAGCCACTGGAAATCAAGCCGAGGTGAGCGCGCATTGACCATTGAGCCATTTAAGCTGGAATTCAATGCCGTATGAATTCTAACTGCTGTCAGTTCGTAATATAGCTCTACTCCCAAACGAATGTCATCGATGCGCAATATCCACCTCACTGATCTTGACATTTTGGTGGATCGTCACAACCTTTTTAGTACACAGCTTCAGGACATCCTTTCACAGTAGCCGTTAATGACACCCGGATATTGATATTTCTAGATTATGAGTGATTTCTGTAGAGATTTTGAGTAGTTTCCATGTGGATTTATTTCGTCACGAATCAACATATCAATTAAGAGATAAGTGAAAGGCAAACCAAGCAGCACTGGCCTAATGATCTGAAAGTCTTTTGGAATCTATCCCTAGTGTGTGTGGTCATAGGGGTGCTTACTTCTGAAGGAGATCAATCGATAACGAAACAGCTGTCCAATACTCTGGTAGTCGGCTCTAACTGATGATTTGGTAATTCGTGATGAAATCGACATTCAACGCAATCCAACTTATTCTGTTATATAAGAATGAAAATACAATTTTACGCTGGCACTCATGTCTACTTATGAGTAATATAGTGTTGTGTGGATGATGAATTTCGTTGTTCAGTGTGTGAATCATTTTGGATAGAATCATGGACTGAGTTCAATTAGAAACCATTGAAAGGCATCAGGGCGATAGTTATGTCGCTCCCGCCAAAGATAAGATGATGTTACAGGACTGGACTACACTGACTCACTCCTAGTTTAGAAATAGGGAGTGAATTGGTTGGTGGAGCACGTTGACCGCTTCACTTATTTGGGAAGTACCATGAGCCAGTGCCAACGGGTTGATCTCTGATGAAATCTCAGTACGGATAAAAAAGGCTAGTTTCGCATATTCCAGTTTACGCCGTCTCTGGCGTAGGCATAGACGTGATATCCGGGTGGCTATCGACCGAAGGGCGGGTGTACTGCTCAGCAGTTCGCTCCGTCCTCCTTTGTGGCCAGCTGTGAGACCTGGCCATTGAGAGTGAAAGACATGAAAAGCCTGGCCAGCTGTCTTTGCTCATAGGTGCCTGCTTTCTATTTCTCGTGTGAAGTGGTTTAATAATAAGGTGAGCAATATTGAGTTTGGGCATCGATCGAGTTCTAGGTAAGGAGGGGAAATCAATCGACGAGGTTGTGAAATTACATCGACTGAGATAGTTAGGACATGTGTTACGAATGCATGCCTAGTTATCGCCTTCCTGGACGGGCCATGTTAGCTGACATAGGGTCAAACAGGAAAAGAGGCAGCTAGCGGCGGTCAGACCAAAACATGGCCTCATCAATCAATGAAATCTACAACAGTTAGTTAAAGCTACTTAGGGAGGTGTAGACTTCTTAACTGGTTGGGGTCTTCCGGACGGTAAAAACTAATGGCTGGAAACAATTGATGATATGGCTCAAAGTCGTCGTTGTCAATGGCTGACTCAGATGCATCCAGTCCTTGTGACTTATGATATCGAATGGAACTATTGTTTTTCGTTATTAGTATTCCTTTGTCTCACACCTGTGTTTACTGTCTCTATTATGGTATTTCTTATACTTTCTTCTGTTGGTTTGTGTGGTACAAGGATTGGAGTGTGGAGACTTGAACTGGTGCACATCGGTGGAAAGTTCTATGTCGAAAACAGACAGACGGATCTATTGATTACTGTAATTAAGTAGTAGTAAGTAAGTAGTTAAATCAAATCACTGTTTGTTTTTTTTTTCATTTCTCTACAGTCTTTAAATACTCCAGTTATACGTATCATAATGGATCGTCTAATGTCAAAATTTCCTGGGACACAAAAAAGTGTTATTGAAGAAGCATTCGTTCGATGCGAGTTAGTCGTAGTAGTTTTGCACAGTTAACTTTATTCTCTCTCTCTCTGTTTTTCTTAAGTTCCATGCAGTATGTTTATTGTATCTATAGGAAGCCTAGTGCCTACCTACCTAGGTTTCGTGTTCGTTGACACTCACTAGTCAGTAAGGCCTATTCTACATTCTTGAAAGAATCAACGATGTTGTCCGTTTTGAGATTCGAACCCGTGTTAGCCACCCAGTCAGTGCTGCATCAGTTAGAAGCGTTACTACTGGTCTGTTGGTCTCTATTGCCTTGCCTTCCTCCCACTGATGCAACTCCTCGACTTGATAGCTCTCCACTTCCTCTCCACTCTGCGTCCACTAAAAACGATGGAAGCCAAAAAACCACCACCGACAGCCTCTTAAAGCCGCGCCACCAATTTCATATAGGAGCTCTTAATGTTAGGACACTTTGCCAAATAGGACAACAAGCATCACTAGCCAAGACCCTGGCATCACGAGCCATTGATGTATGCTGTGTTTCAGAAACACGCATACAAGACCCAAGTGTGGTTATTCACCTAACCCCACCTGGCCAACAGGTTGAATCTGCAAAATTCACCTTGAGGGTGTCAGGAGATGCCACAGCTAGTTCACGAGGATTAGCTGGCGTAGGGATAGCTTTGAGTACTAGGGCAGAAAAGACATTGCTTGACTGGATCCCGGTAGATAGCCGAATGTGTGCTGTCCGCCTGAACGGATCAGTAAGAAGGAGGAAGGACTGCACTACTCGCCGATGCCTTTTCGTAATCTCCGCCTACGCCCCCACTGACTGCAGTTCAGATGAAACGAAGGATGAGTTCTACCAAAAGCTGTCTAGTTTGGTGGAAAGGCTAAACGCTCAGACATAGTCGTTCTAGCTGGTGACTTTAACGCTCAAGTAGGGAAATTGTGTCAATCTGAGAAGGATGTCGGTGGCACCTATGGAGTTCCGTGCCAGCGAACCGACAACGGTGACCGTCTCCTACAGTTCTGCTCTGATAATCATTTGTTTCTTGTAAGCACTAACTTTAAACACAAGGAGAGACACTGTTTGACTTGGAGACCCCCTTCATCAAACCAACGCTGGACACAAATAGACCACATAGCAATAAGCTATCGTTGGCGTGGGTCGGTAGGAGATTGTCGCTCCTTCTGGAACACGTGCGTAGATACCGACCATGCACTGGTCCGCGCTCGGGTGTGCTTACGACTGAACGGACGTAGGAAACAGCTGGCGGTAAAACCATCACGTCCCCAGCTCGATCAGGAAACTAAATCCGTATTTCAGGAAGAACTAGCTAAACACATATCTGTGTTCGACAGCTGTGCTCACCCTGAAGAAGCTTGGAAAAATATCCAGGCAGCCATAGATACAGCTGTAAAAGCTGTGAATAAGGTAAACCCAAAGGTGAGTAAAAACCACTGGATCTCCACCGCCTCATCCGAACTGATAGATGCTAGAAGACTTATTCCGGCGAGCTCCGAATTCAATGAGGAGCGAAAGCTGCACAAGAGGAAACTTACGAAAAGTCTCCGCAAGGACCGTGAACAGTGGTGGGCGACAAAAGCCAAAGAGATGGAGAAAGCTTTGAGGATAGGCAACACCAGGCAACTCTTTGGACTCATCAGGGAAACGGGTGGGAGAAGACAAATCATTAGTGAGACAATCTCGGAAAAAAATGGCACTATAATTAGCTCCAGGATAGACGACTGGATCGTTGGAAAGAGCATTATGAGGAGCAGTTTAATTTGCCCACAGCCACGCTCAACCTTCCGAGCATCCAACACCTCCCTGAATGGGATATAGACACAGGTCCTCCGTCACTAACTGAGGTTACTAAAGCTGTCACCAATCTGAAACTAGGCAAAGCAGCGGGACCTGATGGAATGACTCCAGAGGTATTTAAGTACGGTGGAGACAGCTTACTGTCCGGATTAACTGAGGTACTAGGCAGCGTCTGGGAATCAGAAGAAGTCCCATCGGGTTGGTGTAAGTCACTGATTATCCCCATATACAAGAAGGGAGACAAGTCTTCCTGTGATAATCACAGAGGGATTAGCTTGACTAATATAGTATCTAAAGTCTTAGGCTCAATAATCATGCGTAGACTGAGTGGTGCTCGGGAAGCACAAACACGAGAGAGCCAGGCAGGCTTTAGACCAGGAAGAGGGTGTATTGATCATATCTTCACCCTCCGACAGATTCTAGAACATAGGCATTCCTACCGGCGTCCAACAGTCATTATATTTCTTGACCTAAAGGCAGCATTCGACTCTGTCGATCGGGAAGTTCTCTGGAGATGCTTGGCTGTAAAGGGAATTCCAAGAAAATATATTGCACTGATTAAGGCACTCTATTCGTACTCATACAGCCAGGTGAGGGCTTACGGCGAGCTGTCATCTGAACTGATGACGACCAGTGGTGTCCGTCAAGGATGCCCATTATCTCCTTTTCTATTCAACTTCATCATAGATGTGTTAATGGACTTAACCCTAGGTGACTTCAGCGACTCAGGGATTGACTTGCTACCGGGGAATAATCTCGTTGACTTGGAATATGCAGACGATATAGTCCTTCTAGGCGAAGACGCTGACGAAATGCAGAGTCTTCTAAACACCTTGAGCCGCAATCTACGAATGTTTGGCATGCGATTCGCTCCCGCCAAATGCAAGATGATGTTACAGGACTGGACTACATCGACGCCTAGTTTAAAAATAGGAAGTGAAGTGGTAGAGCACGTTGACCGCTTCACTTATTTGGGAAGTACCATCAGCCCCAACGGGCTGATCTCTGACGAAATCTCAGCACGAATACAAGGGGCTCGTTTCGCATTTGTTAGTTTACGCCGACTCTGGCGTAGACGAGATGTTCGACTATCGACCAAAGGGCGGGTGTACTGCTCATCAGTCCGCTCCGTCCTCCTTTATGGTTGTGAGACCTGGCCACTGAGAGTGGAAGACATGAAAAGACTAGCTGTCTTTGATCATAGGTGCCTGCGTTCTATTTCCCGTGTAAAGTGGCATAATAAGGTGAGCAACATGGAGGTTAGGCGTAGAGTTCTAGGTAAACAGGGGAAATCAATCGACGAAGTCGTGAAGCTACAAAGACTGAGATGGTTAGGACATGTGTTACGTATGCCAAGCCATCGCCTCCCTCGACGAGCAATGTTAGCGGATATAGGGTCAGGCTGGAAAAAAGCTAGCGGCGGTCAAACAAAAACTTGGCATCAGTCAATGAAATCCACAACAGTTGGTCTAAGCCACGTAGAAAGGTGTAGACTTCCAGGCTGGGGTCCTCGGGACGGTAAAAATCTATGGTTGGAAACAATTGGTGACATGGCTCAAAATCGTTCTCAGTGGCGCAGATGCATCCACTCCCTGTGACTTATGATCTTCAATGAAACTGTTTTGTATTTCTTTATTACTCCTTTGTCTCACACCTCTGCTCACTGTTTCTATTATGCTTTTCTTGTACTTTCTTCTCTTGCTTCGCGTGCTACACGGAATGTGGCGACTTGAACTTCCGCACATTTGTGCAAAGTTCTATGTCGAAAACAGACAGACAGACAGACTGTTGAGGCTCCTATTTGACCTCCTGTAGGAGTGAGTCTAATGGATGCCTTGATGATGGCATTGCGACAAACGAAGGACTGGAGGCATGACATTAGTTTCTAACTGGAGTTTTATCATCGTATGTGCTGGGTATATAAATATAGTCTACTTAAATGTAAAGGAGTAGTCTTTAAATAATTGAAAGACAAATTGGTATTCTATTGATGTCAACTCATGATGATATCCTCCATGCAATCAAAGACAAAATCCCTACAAAATCAATACTTGAAAATTAATCTGATACTCACTAGCGACTGACCCTATTCAGGTAGTTCACCTGGGGTTCTAATGGGAAGTCGTGACCAGTAAGGTGCAGCAGGTTGAAGAAGATATTGGAAAATGGTCGTGCTATGTAGTGACTTGGCATAAGTTAGAATTCAAGGACTGGCCATTGGATCAGGTCCCAGTGGCCTAATGGTCTACGAACTAACTCGCTCGCCTTGTAACCAGAAGGTCCTGGGTCTGAACCCAGTTGTGATGGGTGCGCGTGCGCACTAATGAAGAGTCCCAAACTGGGAGGGACGAAACAACTAGCTGTCCAGTACTCCCTGTTAGTTTTCCAATAGTTCTCTAACTGATATAAGTATAAAACATGGGCACTGTGGCGGTAGAGTATAACTCCATTATGGATAAGATTTCATTTTGATAAATCACACAGTGCTGTTACACAGTAATATTAACTGATAACCATATTTCGAGCACATAATAATATAAAGTTACTCGAACAACTTTTTCCTTCATTTATATACATGAGTGGAATTGACTAGATATTTGAATAAATATCAATATGAGATAATGTACATTCAGAAATAATAATACGACTGTTATTGATCAATTACAATTAGATGGGAAATGAGACGAGTGTTTTTTCAAAGTCAAAATAAGTAACTTGTTAGAATGTCATAATGCTTGTGAATTCAAATAGAATTTTAAGATTATTTATTATCCTCCTCTGATTCGACTGACTGACTGGTTGACTGACTGACTGACTGATCGATTGACTGACTGACCGACTGACTGGTGGTAATAATATCCTCCATGCATATCTCTGGTATTTGTATTGAGTCATTTCTGTTGAATGTGTTGTGTTGGGTGTAGGTAGACTCAATGAACCAGTGAGGATTCAGTAATCAATCTCTCTCTCTCTCTCCACCTACACAGATTATTTCTTACAATTTTAACCGTTTCTCACTCGCCCTATTGTGTGTTTGTGTGTGAATGAGTGAAGTGCAATTTCTGAGCTTTTTCTAAATTACTTATCCTTTCGAGGACCCTGTTGACTCAATTAGAGAAAATAATATAATTTACAAAATACCCTGAAATGACTGTAAATTAGGTGAACTGCATAGGTCACACTAGTAGGTCGTGGGAAGTCAGATTTCCAGAATATAAAAATTTAGCTAAGGGAAGAATGGTTGACCCCACCTGAGAAGATGAGTAATGCAGAAAAAAGCTCAACAATCGCACTTCACTCATTAACACACAAACACACAATAGGGCGGGTGGGAGAGGGTTAAAATTCTAAGAAGTAATCTGTGTAGGTGGAGAGGGAGAGAGATTGATTACTGAATCCTCACTGGTTCATTGAGTCTACCTACACCCAACACAACATATTCAACAGAAATGACTCAATGCATATACCAGAAATATGCATGGAAGATATTATTACCACCAGTCAGTAAGTCAGCCAGTCAGTCGAATCAGAGGAGGATAATAAATAATCTCAAATTGTATTCTATTTCAATTCAATTCACGTACATCACAACATTCTAACAAGTTACTTATTTATTATGACTATTAAAACACTCGTCTTATTTCCAAATATCAGTCGTATTATTATTTCTGAATGTACATCATCCCATATTGATTTTTATTCCAATATCTAATCATGAATTCCACACATGTATATAAATGAAGGAAAAAAGTTGTTTGAGTAACTTTATATTATTATGTGCTCGAAATATGATTATCAGTTAATATTACTGTGTAACAGCACTGTGTGATTTATCAAAATTAAATCTTGTCCATAGTGGAATTCTCTAACTGATGTCAGCTCATGATGTGAAATCCTTCAACCAATTTTAAACTCCGTTTTCCTCATTGTGTATTGTTGTTTATAAATTTGGTCGTAACTCGAAGCTTTGTATTTTTGTTATGCCTTTTTGGTTTAGATTTGATGAAACCAGAACTGAAATCTACCTTTTAAGTTATTATAAATCATCTAGTGAATTGACAGAGAAGACTAATACTCCTTCTACTGCTGTTGCCGCAACCGCCACTACTAATGTTGCCGACCTATCGTCGACAAATACAGTCAATGGTTTAGCCAATGATTTCAGAGATGTCAGTCTAAATCCTACTACTATTAATACCACTTATAATAATAATAATAATCTAAATGGATTATTGATTGGCCAACACAATATTGAAGAAAATTTAAGCCTACAAGAGATACAAGATGAAGAAGAGGCATTGAACAGATCGATTGAAGATCAAAAAGTCGTAAGTTGATTGGTTGGTTTGTATTTCTTTTATCCACAAAAAAAGTTCCTATTGTGGTGAGAGAGCTGGCTACTAGCCAAATTGATAGACTGTAATTTACGTCAATGTTTACGTTCCCAATATTATTGGTTGTGAGAAAAATAAGAACAAAGACTGACTGATTCAACAACCAACCACAGCAGACTTTGTTCGCGTAGGCGGATACAGTTAGCATATAGATGATCTCACACTCAATAAACAGCCACAAAGAGATGATAGATTAACGTTTAGACAGAAACCACCAATCAGAAGACTGTGTTTGTTTACTTACAATAATCTACAATAATGTACATGGAAATCTATAAATATGTGTTGATTTCGTAAATAAACGATCTGTTGACAGGCCCTTGTCTTCTGGTGTTACATTTGGTGTCGCTGCCTACCGACAAAATGGAAAGCCTATACCCTGCAGTTTTTGATGGAGACATATGGATCTTTGGGCAGGAATTCGAGTCTTCTTCGCAGTTCAGTGGCGTTCAAGTGGCGTTCTGTCAGCGATGAGCCTGTAACTTGGGACGCTTCTGGGAGGTCGGGAGGAAGCAGCATGGGAAAGTGTTAGGCGAAATACCGACGAGTGTGGAGCATGGTCAGGGAAACAGTTTCCAAAGTGGGAAGGACAACATATGGTCACTTTGAGATGGGGTTACGCATAGACAATCGCAATGGTAAACAAAGAGAAACAGGTGAATATCAGCGAGCGCCGAGATTCCAGACAGTAAGACAATCGAACAAAGCCCCTAGAACCAAGATGACCGAACCATTTTCAGTCGGAAGCGTTTGACGGGGGGACGAGTAAGGTGTGAACTGGGTACCAGCCAAAATTGGTAGATAGTAATTTACATCAATGTGTTCACTTCCCCAATATTGGTCTTGAGAAAAATGAGAACAAAGGCCTTTGTGTAGGCGCATACAGTTTACATATAGATGATTTGACATTCAAGGAACAGCCACAAAGAGATGCAAGGTTAACTTTCTGTGAGAAACAACCAATCAGAGGAGTGTGTTTTTCTACTAACAATAATCTCTAATAATGTACATGAAAATCTATAAATATGTGTTGATTTCGTATATAAACGATCTGTTGCCTGGCCCTTGTCTACTTTTGTTACACTATGATATAAGAAGAAGAAGAAGAAGACATGAGGTGAAGAGCAGAAGACAAGCATATTCAGAATCACTAAGAAGCCTCTAGAACATGTGAAGTTTGTGGATGCCTGTAACAACAGAAGACAAGGGCCAGGCAACAGATCCTTTTATTATGAAAATCAACACGTATTTATACATATTTCACATACATTATTATAGCTTATGCAAGTAGACAGGCGCAGTCATCTGATTGGTTGTTTATCAGAAGTTAGGCAGACAAACGCAGGCTTCTGATTGGCTGTTTCGGGATTCCTCGACAAATAGAGTTCTCTATCTGCGAATCATATTTTTGCCACGTTAACTTTGCTGTGATTGGTTGTTGAATCAGCCTTGCTCATATTTTCTCACGGCCTGCTCTCACCACATGCCTTCTATCTAATATATCATATAAATTTGAAGATTTACAGGTGGAAAACATGAATAATAACTGGGCGAAGAAGGCGCCGAGAAGACAGCAGGACTTCAAGTGAACACAGAGAGAAAAGATAAAGGTGATGAAGAAACTCCGACTGCCAACACGCCTTCAATCCGTGAGAATGGGTGAAAATTGAAAGAAGTCACCTTTTTTTAAGTAAACTAGGCACTATCGTTTCGATTACAGACAATAGAGATGAGGGTGTCAGCCAATAAGAGAAAAAGCAAGATAGGCCTTCACTTTTACCAACAGCTACCTCCTTCGCTGGCTCCGTATTGAAGGATCAGATTGTAGGCCAGAAAAAAATTTTACCAACAAGAAACTCGTAGAAGGTACCAAACAACAACATATATTGCTCCACAAAAATGTGTGGGAGAATATGGAAATGGATTGGATTCACACTGAAGAGAGACCATCGAGTGGAACTCGAATAAGAGACGGCGAGTTGGGCATGGGCTGGAGAGTGAAATGCAGGAGATCACATGAATTGGAGGAGATGAAAGCCTGTGGGTAATCGTAGGGTCATCTGAAGAGAACTGCACAGAATAGGACAAAGGGTTCCACTCCGAACTAAAGGTGTAGCAAGTGCTACTGATAAGATATTTACCAGCAGTATATGAAGAGACGTTCATCGGCATAGAAAAACATCAAATGGCTGGAGGATACATACATTTGATTTCAGAGAGGGCGAACGATGCAGCATCGTATAGAGATACATTAGATAAGTGAAAGGGAAACACAAAGAAACACACAACATGAAGTCCAGAAGTAACACAACACGATGATCTGTGCAAATGATGCGTCGAAGATAAGATGCATATAATTTGGATATATAGAGATACCAATTTCCCTAATAAACATTCCTTTTTTACTATAGTTTGGTTCGTAAGAGTCAGTTTTATTGATCATGGATTGATATCAGCTAGAGAACCATTGAAAACCAGCAAGGAGTACTGGAGAGCTGTTTCATGCTAGTTTAGGAATCATTGGTAGTACACACCCACTGGGGTTCGAACCCAGGATCTTCCGGTTACATTCCTTTACTAAGTCTTCATCTTCTACCGTTTCAAAGGGGATAATAATAATAATAATCACGAATATGCATAAAAACCAAGGGGTTTTAATTATTGAAGAACAGAGGCACCCTTGTTTCACATGATATTCTGCTTGATAGTAATTAACTGGCAAGTGGAATCTAAGATAACACATTTCGTCTTATTTAGGATGGGACTCGTCAGCTTGGTGTACACCTGCTTCCCCCGCCCCCCGAATGAGAGAGGGAGATGGTATTCCTTCCTATTCAGACTCTCAAATCTCGCACCCACTAACGCCGTAAGAACCACCTCTTTGACAAAGGATATCAGTTTTATTACTTGTTTTAAGGCTGATATATTCGTGGGTTCTAGGGTGATATGAAGGTGGTCGTGTGGCTAGTTGGAGGTGAGAGATTTTGGTCAATCGTGGATTCAGCTAGAGAAGACAGCAAGCACCAAATAGAAGAAAGTGGGGAGATGTATTGTTGAAGCCCTATATATTTCACCTAGAACCCAATGGAACAAATAATAATAATAATTCTATTGATCGTAATTGCAGACAAACAGACATACAACTATCCTTGGTGATATTTCGAATTATACATCATAATTGCTTAAAATATATATGCCTTTTGGCTTATATCATGCATGGTGTGTTCCTCGTTCAGGTAGTGAGAACTGAGGAGACAGGTTGATGGCTATCGTATAAAATAATATTGTTTACAATGCGCATACTCAAGCAGTATTCATGATCAACACACCAGCATCCAACTCGGTATGCCTATTTCCACTCAACATCGTTTTTTTTTATCCAAATATTTAAATATTCCCATTTGTAATATTAGAACAAGACATATAAGCGAACAATATTGCTGTTATCAATTAGATCTTCTTCAGGCTTTACTCTAATTTACATAGATTTATATATAAAAATTTTTAACCAATGACGGGGATTTTGTGGATCAAATAATAATAATAATAATAATAATAATAATAATAATAATAATGTGGTAAATGTTTTGAATGTCATTAATAACGATGATTATAATGACAACAAAATATTGATAATAAGGTTTATGCAGGTAGTGATAGGAATAACAAAGCTACTAATATGTGCATGTGTAGACAATTCAATAAATAAATAAGTTAGGTCAAATCTTAAAAGGTAAAATGGAACGATAATCAGAGTTCAAATAAATATCATAAAATTCATACGAACTGTGATCAAGATTTGACCGGATAGTTGCAAAATAATTGACCGCTGAGTGAGAAGTAGACATTTATAAAGTTATATTTGTAAAATCTCAGCGAAATTGAAATGATTAATTCCAACGTTTCGTTCGGAAATCTGATCCGAACTTCTTCAGGGAAATTAGTCGAAATTAACATAACACAGGTTTATATATAAAGGGACACCTCTTGTTTTTTAAAATTCTTGTCCAATCATGAATCATGCAACAGGTATCAACATGTATAATAAATAAATAAATAAATAAATAGAATTGTATGTTAATATAAAAGTACATCTCTTATTTTTATATATGAATCAATAGGTATACTAAACAAAACAAAACAAAACAAAACTTGTATGAACTATGATCAAAAACTTTTTTGACCTCAGACTTTCAAGATTTGTCTACTTTTGTTAAAATATATGTGTATATGCAGTATATGCAGGATACAATTGTGTGCGTGTGTGTATGTGTGTGTGGGTGGAACAGTCATAAAACATTTGCTATTCTCATATGAGCTGTGATCAAGATTTGATCGGATAGTTACAAAATAATTGACATTTTTATAAATAAAATTTAATTTTTATAGATTTGTTATTCTCTCCATAAGAAGACGTAGACAATCGGGAATTTGACCAAGTGTGACTACTTGTTCATACATATCAAATTTTTATTTTATATACTAGTCAGGATTTGCCATGCTGCATCAGCTAACATCACACCTTCACGTCTGTTTAAACTGTTGGGATTCACCCATATACGTAGGGCTTCTGCACTCAGTCTTTCTTGATATGAACCAAAACCTTAGTCTTATCAAAGTCGATTTTGTGTCCCGTTTCTATTGAATGTAGTGCAATCGCTGAGTTGTTTTCTAACTTCTTCAAGTCTGCAGAGATCTTTGGAACCACCTTTAGACATTGTTTATGTTCTTTCATTCTTATATTTACCTGTCTGGAAGTTTCTCCTACATATACTGCGTTACAATCCCCACAATTGATCTGGTATACGCAATTCTGCTGGTTTTTTTGTTCTATTTTATCCTTAACCTTCACCAGTAATGAGCGTAAGGTGTTAGATGCACGAAAGTACACTCTTATGTTATGTTCGTTAAGGATTCGCTTTATTTCATCGGAT